CTTATAAATTATAGGACATATTTAAAACAAACTGAAATAAGACATTAAGAATGCTTTTACTTTCCTTTTTTGGTCTATTAAACTCAAAAATCACAATCAATTTTTTTTCGAGATGAGATGAATTTATATTTTTTTCATTTGTTTTTAAATTGTCGCGTTATATGAAAATGAGATGTTAATAGCCCGTAGTCAAGGTTTATTGTCTCAATATCGTCTAGCAGATTTATTCACTAAATAAAATTTTATCGCCACACTTAATTAATATTTTTTTAATAGAAATACGTGCATTGCCTTCGTTGATAATCAATCAATTGCCCGCCTTCTACGATTGTTAAAAAATAATACTGTTTTTCAGTTAGGTTAAGGTTAGAAAGAGAGTCATAGGAAGCACCTTGAGATCACTTAGGTACCTACTCTTCTAAATAGTAATAGTAAGTCTCAAATTGTACCGGATATAATCTAGTAGTATTATTTATGATTGATCCTTTTTAAAATGGCCTTCGATTTTGATTTTATACAGAAAAATCAACTCTAAGCAACACTAATTAGAATTCACACAGGTCCACACTAAAAAGTGTTGTTTTATAACACTACAATTAGAGTTAATGTGTAGTGTAATTTTACCCAAGTAAGCAAGTATGATTTAACACTAGCACTGAGGATAAAGTAATTTTACACTGTATTAAAAAGTGTTAATTTACCTAAAATCGTGTATTTCCAAACTTCCTGGGTAAAATCCCACTTTTGTTCATTGTAAATAAACACTACTTTGGAAAATTTCTAATTTTAGAAAGGTACTTTTACTCTTTTAGTGCAAACTTCTAGTGCAAATTAACACTATTATTTGAGTAAAACCTATTGGTGGTAGTAAATAAAACAAAAAGGTAAATAAAGAGAAACATTTATTTGGAACAAAAATCTATGACAATTATCAAAATCGGTGCCTTTTAAAATATAATTTTATATTTGAGTCGTATGGCTGGCTTAAGCAAAATGGTTACTTAAAACGTAATAGTTTTAGATCAATGCAATGTTTTACTGGCTGTCAACTTGTAAGCAATAAATTATCTTGAGAATTCATCAGTAATCCATTTTTCTGTTATAAAAAATGGGTGATCCCATTGGTAGAGAGGCGTCAGGCGGCTGTATGTCGGGGATTTACCACACGTGTACAAATTTTCCATAATATTAATAAAAATGTAGGTATAGGTTAATATAACAACCATTACGCTTGAAAATAAAAAGTAAATCAAGTGTGTATGTATTTATATTATTAATGTTACAAGTACCTGAGCTACTGCCGTAAATTATTGATATATAATATAGGTCGGGTATGGACATTCTTTTAACATATTGGTATTTATTGAGTATTAAGGCTTAAAGAAAAAGGAAGTATAATACTTACCAAAAAATAAGAATGTCCCCTTATGGATTCACCGTAATTAAAATCTAACTGAACAAAAATGCCACACTTCCACAACGCGGTATCTCCGGATATGCACTGCGTAGGTAGAAAGGTACCAACCAAACAATTTAAAACGCATTTCGGTTATTACCAGTTTTTTCAGTCTATATTGCCACTTTTGCTGTAATTTAACTTTAATTGTGATACAATGTGCACTATTAGTGTAAAGAAAAAAGAGCTCTTAGTAACATCAAAACAGACAAAGAAATTGGCATGCACTGTAGTGTACATTTTGTCACTATTTAACACATTAAGGGGTAATAAACACTCGCATTAAGTTTTTCTATCCTTTTGATTTATTTTAATAATAAATAGTGTGAATGTACCAATGAATAATGTTCATATTCTTTAAATGTGTTTTATAAAGTTAATAAGCACTAAATGTTACCTAGTGTATTTTGTAGTGTAACTTTTACACTTACAAATCAACTCTAATATTAAAAAATTTACACGGGCAAAATTTTTTACTGTGCATTAATACAATTTTTATGTTTTAATTTTTTTTAGTAACACCCTGTATACAGTTAATAAATTGTTTATTGTTTATAATATGCATAACTGAGCAGGTAAAACCAAACATAATTTCAATATTTCTAGGACTATTCTAGAACTCACGCCCTAACCGCAATTTTTTATAGTAATTTAATTTAACATTAAAACAATAATTTAACGCAAATCTGCTACAGCTTTTTTAAATTATTCATGGTTTTTTATGTTAGTGTAAGTACCTACCTACCTACGTGTTTATTAGCTACCTAACAAAGTAATTATTTTTATATTTTGTTACCATGTAATTATTGTAATAATTAAAGTAGACAGTTATCGGACACTTTATAGTTATTGGACAATTACAATATTTCTAAAAAGTGTACAGATCAGTGTGTGGTATAAATGTGTTCCTCATGGTTTAAACATTGTCACTTTAATGCGTTTTAATTATAATTATGAAAACAAACAGTAAAATGGCCAGTGTCCAATTACTGGTTGGTAAAAAATGTAAATTTCTATTATTGGCAGTTTTTGAGATATAGTCAATTCCATATTATATGTAAAATTGATTATATTTCTATATATTACTTTTGACGACATTTTCGGATTCAAAGAATAATAGTTCATAGGAATTGACTGCTAAATATCCTGGATACAAATTGCTGTTGACGAGAATTATTAGTGACATTTTTGACCAATTCATTTTTAGAGAGTAAGTAATATAGTGATTTCTTCGTCACAGGACATCTTGCAGAATAACAGTGATTTAAATACAGTGCATGATAGAGAACATAAAAACTAATGGAAACAAAATTAATAAATTCAGAAAATACTTTTAACATACCACCCGAAAAAATATTAGATATATAAATCATCCTGTTCCGGCCTAAACAGTATAAATGCATGCTTCACAAACTAGAGATACCACACTTAATAATATTTGCAACAAACTATTTCAGAAGTCAGACCAAGGAATTAGTAGTTACTTTCAGAATCCAGAAAAGGGATGAGGAATCCGAGAAAGAAATATATGAATTATATGATATTTACAAAAACGAAATAAAAAAAATTTCCTAAAACAGCAATTTATCTTTAAAAAATATTTAACAATTTATGTTATTTGATGTAAAGTTGTTATGTTTATATAAAAAATTGTATGTCCAATAACTATGGTTCATGTGTCCAATTAATATATTTTTTTGCAATTTTAAAATTTCAAATATTCTTATTTTTAAGTAAACGAAAATAAAGAAACAAACTATACTTTTTATATATTTATAGAAAAAAACTAAAATCTTTAATACAACGGCATATGTATATAAATTTTAAATAAATAATATTCCTTAATTAAAAAAAATATGTAGGTACATTTAAAATAAAACAATAATTATTAATCCCCGTGCATCCACCATTTTTATAACTATCAACTTTTAAAATTAACAGCGCCGCCTATAGTTGTACCATCAAACTATTAAATAACAAAATACAGAAATCTACCAAATATTTGCAACGGCTGCATAGCGCCTGTTTTACCAACTGCGTCAACACACTTCGATCACAACCGTATAGATGGCGCCACGAGTTAAAAACGTTTATTTTCCACAATTCCGGAATATTCTACGCAATTATAACTGAATAATCGCTACAAAACAAAGGTGACTAAACACCTGAATTAAATGTGACTTTATATGCACTGCATAAGTCACTTTTTGGAATGTTGCAAAGAAAATAAACAAGTCCCCCCCCTCCACTTCAAACGTTTGGACAGAAAAAGAAGTATGGTGGACCATAGCAGTTCACCGAAATCATTGTTTATACTTTTGTTCGGTTTGTGACAATTAGTTTAAAATGCACGTGAACGGAATCGAAAACCCAAAACACAACTAAAGACTGTAACGCAAGACTGCATCGTTTTACTCAAGACTTAGATTTAATTCGTAAGTATTATGTTTGTTTACCTTCCTAAAATGCATACATGCTATTGGATTTCACCGAAAAAGGCCTACTTTGCGCTAATAGACCTGTCATATTATGTTTAATAGTACTTTTGATGTTACTTGTATTTTGATGTTATTTAAGGTTACAATTTAGTACGACTATTTTGCATTTTGCAAAGCGATGTGTTATTCGCAAAGCCTTGACAATGACGTAAGTCGTAAATCCACATTTATAATTGCACTATACATAGAAACATAATTGTATTATACATTAAATAGGTCAAAAATTAAATTAGAGTACAAAAAGGTCAACGACCTTTAGTTTTGGACCAGGGCGCGGAATAAGGGGCAACTTATCTGACTTATTGTAATGTCGCTAGACAACATATTAAATATCAGTCCGTATCTTATTTAAATTAAATTGTACAACGAGTGGGACTATTTAAAAATAAATTTTTCTAGTGTTTTTGATCCAGCTGCGCCCTAATTGTGTTCTGATAGATCTTAATTGAGCAATTTAAGATGTTTTGGAGTATAATATAAATAAATAATAGATGCATTACCCAGACAAACATTTGTGGTATTTTAGAATATACAGGGTGTTAGATGTAAGTAACTTAACACGAGTTAATTTGTCATTTAATATTCTGTATTTAATTATTATGTTGTATTAGGTTATGTGCATTGTAATTTTACAGTTACCTGCACTAATTTCGAGATAAATGCGATAGATGGTACCACTCCTCCTATGTAATTTTAATGTATTTTCATTACTTGTGTTTAACCAACACCCTGTATTTTACCTAACTATATTTAGTGTGGATGTCACATAATGACATAATGACGATATTAATGCTGTGGAATTATTAACTGGTTATAATTAGAGTGATGATCATCATCTTACTATTGATTTAACCTTGACCATTATATTGCATTGAAGTAAACAATTTTAACTTGATGTGTTGTGCATTTTAATATAGAGATGTTGCAAATTAGTAAATATATTCGATAAATGATTTACAAAATGAATTTGTTATGTTCTTAAATAGTTTTTTGTTCTAATTCCTTTAATATTTATAAATCTAATACAAACTTTATTTTTACAACAACTAACATGAATCAAAAACCCCTTTCTTTCTCATATCTTCGAAGGCATCATCCACACAATATTCCTCATGGAAGTCCCTGTACCTTTTCTTCTTTTTTTCTATATATAAATAATTAAAAGCTAATCCACTCAGGGCTGCACTTAGCAGGGCTAGGGGAATGTTAACTTTTATTTTGCTTGCAAGTAAACCATGCAGCTGAGGTGGGGGTAACTTGTTCAAATCGGATGGGCATTCGGTTTTTGGCATTTCGGGTTTTTTCTTTATCAAGGTTACAGATTATAAAGAAGGTGAAATCTCAACTGTATGTTTGTGTCAAATTATTTGAGAAATGTCAAAATTGTTTCGAAAAGTTGCTATGGAGAAAATGTATTTAATACCAACTAAATATTTTAATATATTTTATTAGTTTGTCTCCTTTTGGTGCACCAATGATAATGTTGGTAGTCAATGTCATAGATTACCTAATAATAATAAAATAATAATAACAAACAACGTTTGTAAATCGTAAATTATCGGATCTTATTGATTTAAAAACCAAGTGAAAGCCTAACAAGCCCTTAGTAAACTCTTTCAGAAAATTTTTGTTTAGTTATTTCAGAATATTTTTTTTTTTAATTTTGAAACTTGTGAAACACACATTTTCGCATGTCCCATTAGCGTTTTATAAAACTTACATACATGTTTTTTTTTAATATTGAATAACCAGAACTTTGTGTTCTTTATAGCAATCCATAACATCCTTAGTTAATACAATATATTAATACATTATAATAATTAATTTTAATCTACTTTTTTTAAATTTGACTCATGTCCCAGACATTTTTTCCGTTCCATTACGTCCGTCGCGTTACCGATAGAATATTAAAAAAACATATATGGCAACTTTTTTGGTACTCACGTGATCAACAAATGATTTTCGGACGTACACATTAGCTGAATTTATTTATTCAATCAGGAAGAAGATATCGGTTGAAACAGGTGCGGGTAACGCAAATGTAATAATTGTTTGTCGGCCAAGTTACTCAAAAAAATAATATAAATAAGGTAAGAAAAAATACTATTTTTCATGTTTATGTTTATTTTAGGGCACTAAAGATCATTGAGAGTAATTAATTATAATAATTATTATTTTTTAAATATGGTTTTACAAAACTTTGTCCACTGCGTTACCGAGTCCACTATGTTACCTTATGGTAACGCAATGGAATTTAGGGTAAGGCAATATAATTTTTCGACAACAAAGTGGATATTTACCGTCGCTTTTATTAAAAGTAGTTTATGATTAACCCATTTAAAATTATTTGTAATTACAACTCATGATATAGATTACATCCAAGGAAAAATTCCACGCAATATAAAAGTACTAAAAGGGACCTTCACCAGCTTATAGTCAAAGAAAAAGGGTGTCTACAATTTAGAAATCTAAGTTTAATATAGTTTCTTTTTTACGTTATCTGATTAAGTCTTTTGTGTACCCCTGTCCGTTGTGATACCAATGTATATTTCGTTACTTTTTTAGTTTTTGTTAAAAAAATACTTAAAATGATTTTTATACACTATCACTTGGTTATAAATTAGAGTTTAATTCACTAATACAGTGACTAAAAGAAAATATTAATGGTATTGTTTTTTTAACAAAGAATCGGAATGGTTTCTTTTAAAAAGTAACTTAACGAACATAAATATTTAAAAAACAACATACAATTTCTAATAAAAGAAACTAAATTATAAGCATAACAAAACATAAACTGAAAAATAAAATTCGTATAGCAAGTTCTAATAATATTGAGATATAATTCAAATGAAGTTCGTCTCCTTTTATAATAGTACAACTGTCGATAGATTAAATATGTATTCAGCGACCAACACAAAAATTTTTTAAGGATAGAATTAAGTTAATGTAATTAATTTTAATTAATAATTTGTATTTATTCATATTTAAAGATAAGACAATATGGGCGGTTCTATTTAGGAATAAATGAAGAAACCTAAAATATTTTCGTAATTTCCATCGTATTGACGTCATAGGTGAGAAGGCATTAGGTTTCGTATGACTATAAATTCATTCACGAGGAGTGTGTGTTGTGTATGCGGTCATTAGGTGAAGCAAAAAAACCGTGCTTGGGTTTTCGCTGTTTTCGTCTAACGAACGATGAATATGAAGTCGTCAGCCACCCTAGGGGCGGGCGCCCCGGGCGGTCGCACGTGCGTCTGGACCAAACAAGCGCTGCTCCAGGAAACGCCCCCGCCCGCAAAAATTCTCGCGATCGACTTCTTACGCTGTTCGAAATGTTTTATTATCGACAAGCAATTTCAACGATCCTTTTTTTTCCTGGATACTGTTTTTGCTTATTTATTTATTTATATACAGGGTGTCCGGGAAAAGGAGGTCAATCCGTTAACCATATATTCTTTGAGTTAAAACAATAAGACTTTCATAATACCATTTTTCAATTTAGAGCTTCATGTTCGATATACAGGGCGACAAAGTTTAAAATTTAAAACTGATTTTTTTTAATAATTCAAGTAATTGATAAGATATTAAGTTTAAATTCGGTACACTACTTCAACATAAATAGTTACATTTTTGAGACCAACAAAACAAAAAACAATTGTCAAATAATAAAAATAGGGGGGTCCAGTACTCACTGACTCCCCCTATTTTTAAGTACGTGCGCCAATGACTTCCAAACGGTATTTTTTCAGGTAATCATTTATTGTTGAAAATTTTTTGTCTCTTATAAAATTTTGATAAAATGATTTGTTTTAGAGATAATTTGTAAAGTATAGGTCAATCCATATCAAATTTTTGAAATTTAATTTTTTTTTGAAAAAAATTAGGTCACGTGATATATCATAAAAAAGGTCTCTAATAGGCCTTTAAAATAAGCCATCACTCGCCTTTCTACTTTTCATAGTTTACGAGATATCGAACCCATCGAAAAAAATTCATATATGGGATTTTTGAGTTTTTTAGTGAGGTAAACAAATTTACCAAAAATTATCAAAATCAAAGATGGTGGGGGAAGATTTGATATGGACTGACCCATACTTTACAAATTATCTCTAATACAAATCATTTTATCAAAATTTTATAAGAGACAAATTTTTTTAACAATAAATGATTACCTGAAAAAATACCGTTTGGAAGTCATTGGCGCACGTACTAAAAATAGGGGGAGTCAGTGAGTACTGGACCCCCCTATTTTGATTATTTGACAATTGTTTTTTTGTTTTGTTGGTATCAAAAAATGTAACTATTTATGTTGAAGTAGTGTACCGAATTTGAACTAAATATCTTATCAATTACTCGAATTATTAAAAAAAGGAGGTACTGCTCATTTTTACCTATCTTACAATAATTATTTTTAGATTAATAAAGGCACAACCGCACAACAACAAAATATTAATGTACAAGCACAGTAGGTATATGAACCTCAACGATTTAACACTGAACTATAAAAAACATGAATAATTTTATTTATATGTTTTGTGATTTTTACTGTAGTATTTGTGTGTTAATCTTTTATAATTATTTGAATTATTTTTACATGAATTCACAACACAATAATGTATTTTACGCTTGCATTTTTATCACAACTTTCCATTTTAACGCTAAGGCAAAGACTAAACAGAAATAAGAAACTATAAACACGCATAGATCTAATTAATAAGCTTTGTTTACTAAAACATTCCACGCCCCGCCCAGTCTTTTACAACGGCTGATAAGCGAGCCGCACAGATCTCGGGACTGACTCTGCTGTCTTCCATATACTGTGGTACAAGCCCAACTTTGTGGGCCTCAATGTCTACAAAAATTTGCGTATTATCCCCGCCTTGCGGGGGTGCCGGCGGTGTGACGTATATGAAGCGCAAATTTATGGGATTACTATTTCCATTGAGTAAACTCAATGCTATTTCCCTATTATGCGGTCGGGCAATGATTTAAGCGTTTGGAATTAAAGTTGGAAGGGGTGCGCGCTAAATTTAAAGGAAATATTTTAAACTTTAATGGATATTCACTGTTTTGATACTTTTAATGACTGGAATATTTAAATAAGTAATGTATCGAAAATTTCAAATTATATTATAATTTTAACATGTGAGGCCCGGCCTCAGTTGCTTTATAAGACGAGCCGCCACTGTTATTATTTATATACCTAATCTCTTAAAATGAAATAGTTCAAACTCTACTATTTGAATTAGTATTGTTTACTATTAAAATGGTCGTTTTTTACCACATTATTATTTCTCAAGAAGGGGGGCACTTTAATTTTACGATTGTATAACATTTGAAAACTGTCAACTAAATTAAAAGTAACTTCAGCCCGTGACTAAAACGCCATAAAGCCACAACTTTTCAATGTGTATTTAAAAGGTCACTTAGTGTCATGGAAGCATGTACAATAATGAACGTTTTAAAGGTGGAAGTGTACTCCCATAGGAAACCACATTAACAGACGCATCAAAATACTAATTATGCACGTCATAAAATTTTAACAAAATGTATGCTGATCGTTAACATTACTACTGCAAATAAATTGCCTTATAATGATAATGAACAAAATTCATATGTAAATATAGAAATACTTGGCCTTCCATAAACAAATACTTTATTTGTAAAAAAGTATTTAGTTATTTGTTTAAAACAAAACTATTTTCTATAATAGTTATTTATGTCAATTACACTAGTTGACTTTCTTCTGTAGTTTGGCTCACTAAGTGCGAAAATCACAATTTTTTTTTATGGAATCGTTTTCGGGATACGAATTTTTAATTGTTTTTTTTTAATAAATTATATATTGAATATTAAACAATAAATATTTAACATTGAAAAAATTGAAAGTTTTATTTTGTTGTTTAAAAAAATCTGGCTCCTTCTTTGTTATTTGTTGCTTTCGTATTCCGTTTCTCGTATGAGGGACCAAATGTAATCACCCATCATGGCTGCATCCCAGAAGCCGTGATACCGCCGCTCCATAGCCTTCATTTGCTGGTGAAAACGTTCTCCGTGCTCATCACTTACGTCGCCCAGATTGTGCGGGTTATTTACGCACTAGAACTCTCTACTTTTACTCATTTTACAGTTTTTTTTAAGTAAATAAAACCATGATGTCTTCCACTAAAAGAGTTCATAACTTCGCCATTTTTTTCATGTATTTTTATCAACATTAGCTTATTTTTTTTGTTTGTTTTGACAAAAAAAATTTAAATTGGAGTTATCTGTTTGTTTTAAACCTTTCCCA